ACAGAAGAAATCAGTTCAACATACTCCAGGAATAAAGAAAGAATCTGCTAAAGTAAACAGGATCTCTGGGTACAAGAATGCTGTTAAAGAGAGGTAGAGGGTTGGGGAGCCTTACCATAGCCATGAACAAACAGTCCTTTAGACATCATTACTCTCTGATTCTGTGTTCCCCAACAACTTTTTGGTTACTAATTCAGCTTTCTAAAATGTAGGTACAGAAAATTGGGAGAATGGTGCCCTGCACAAGAGAATAGTGTATAAATATCCACGTAGGATTCCCACAGGGTACCTCAATGAGCTGGCACTCTTTTATATACTGTTCTCTTGCAAGTGTCACTATTAATATGAACCAACATCCTGGGTCACATTAATTCTAGGACACAGAAAACTCAAGTTTCCAGATGTCTTGTCCAGAGGACAAGACATTGAAAAATGGTATCTTTACCAAGGTAGGAATATCAAGGTCAGATTTGTCTTGGTGACAGGACCACTTTCTTCTGCAGCCCCATTTCTCCTTTATTTCAACCTGCTTTGAAATTTTAAAGAAACAAACCCAGATTATTTTAAGACAGTGTGAGATGGGTGCCATAAGATCCTCAGTGACATAGGCAAAAGGATGGTTCAAAAAGAAGAATTATCACTTGCAAAGGATACGATCCAAGAAGGCTTCAGGGAGGAAAAGCTTTAGAATTTCCACAAAAAGAGGACACTATGGAAACACTGAACAACTAGAACGACAAAAGATGGAAATGAGGACGGAAGATAAAGAAAAAATGAGTCTACAAGACTGTATAAGGTTCTGCAGGAGAGGTGTTAGGTCAAGGTTAAAGAGAAAGACATTAATGATCAAACAAACCACAAGAAATGTTACTCTTCAAATGTTCTTGGGCCTGATCAATAATCTCATTTTATGCCTCTTTTCTTACTTATATTTGATTTCTAAAAAAGCAACTAAATGAGATTAATTTCCATTTTTTATGGAATGTATAAGGCAATACTCCATATCACCAAAAGTAAAGCAGAGGCTAAATGTTTTTCAATTAAATTTCAATAAATTTTCCACTGTTAGAGATTAAATTGAGTGATCCATGACCTATATGTATTTCTCACAAAGTCTATACTAGATGTCACTTTGAGAATAGCTTAGGGATAAAGATATTTAAAGGGCCTCCACAAGTATAAAAAATAAACAAGCCATAATCAGAAGTGTCACTAAATCTAAAACAACTGATATAAATTTAATTAATTATTTTACTGTTAAAAATAAGAAAAATCAGGGAAAACTGATAAATGGTCATTTCTTCCAGGATGAACAATGTCTTTTTGTGATATCCTTTTCAATGGAAATTAGGAAAAAAATATTTCATCCCCCAAAAGGAATTTCAATTATACTTGCAACAAACTCAAAGAACATTCTATGTCAATTTTAGAATATCATCTTCATAGAACAGGGAAATCTGAGGGGTTTTTGTTCATTGCTATGTCACCAGTAACTGGAACAGTGCCTGGCATGTAATAGATAGTCATTAACTATTTCATATGTGAGTAAATGTTCAATCTTTCTCTCCAATTGTGTTTCATATCCAAATCTATACAACCTATCCCAACTAACCCAAGAGAATTCCAACTCTTCTGGTAACACATGTGAAAATGTAAAAGAACTATTAATTTAGGACTTTAGGGAAAGCCAGCCTCTTTCAATGAGAACATTATTACATTATAAATAATTTTAAATGTCTACATACTTGAGGATTTTTCAATTTATTTCATAAATGGTAAATAAAAAGAAACAATGGGAAGGAAGGGAGAAGAGGAAGGAGGGAGGGAGGACAGACCAACATGTGGTTTTAAACAACTCAGCAAAGAGATTTTTCTACCTCTGGCATCATTAGCATAGTTTTTTTTTTTTTTTAATATTTAACTTTGACAAAGTAATCATATATTTTACCACACTTGTCAGCAGAATAAAAGGCTAAATAATTCTCATAAAAAACCTTTAAAAGTCCTACAATCACAACTGCTCTGAGAATATTTCTAGTAAGAATTTATTAAACATGTAGAGAGGAAGGCAGAGTAGGAAGACCTTCAGCTCACCTCCTCCCAAGGACACACGAAAACTACAACTACTTATAGAATAACTATCTCTGAGAATGACCTGAAGACTAGCAGAGTAGCTCTTCCACAATTAAGGATATAAAGAAAGAAAACCACACCAAGATAGGTACAAGGGGAAGAGAAGTAATTTAGTCAGAACCCAGAAGGCCAACCCCCAGCAGGTGACCCAAAAGAGAAAGGAGACGTCACAAACTCAGAGGTCCTCCCTAAGGAGCAAGGGGTTCAGTCCCAACTTCGGGTACCCCAGCCCTGCAGACTGGCACCTGGAAGACAAGCCCCCTTAACTGGTTTGGAAAACCAGCAGGGCTTACAGCCAGGAGAGCTGGAGGGCTGTAGAAAACTGAGACTTTGCTCTTAAAGACTGGCAACACCAACTTACTCCAAGCCCAAGAACAGAGGCAGCAGAGTGACAAGTGCCTGACACCCTAGCTGTCCTGCCAAGACTGCCTCATCAGACCCCCCCAGCCCACACAAGCCTCCCTCTCCAGTCCCCCACCAAGGCGGCAATCCCTGGCACACCTGTGGAGAAGCCTTGGTTCATGCTGGGCTCCAACTCTAGCCCCGCTGGCTCCAGCTCCCTTGCCAAGGTGATGGCCCTCTATGGGCCTTGGGCGAAGCCCCAGCCCACACGGCTCCAGCTCCAGCACCCCTATCACCAGGGAGCAGCCCCCAGTACACCCCAGGAGAAGCCCCGGATCACTTTGGCTCCAGCCCTTCCACAAAAGCCACTGGACATACACAGTCTGTATAAAGACACTCCTACACAAGGACACATCTTCAAGACATGGAGAGGTAACTGTTTCTCTTAATTCATGGAGACAAACACAGAAAGTCAAGCAAAATGAGAAGACTGAGGACTGTGTTCCAAACAAAAGAACAAAATAAAACCCCAGGAAAAAAAAAAACACAAAACTTTAATGAAATGAAGGTAAGTAATTTACCTGATACAGAGTTTAAAGCAATGATCGTAAAAATGCTCACTGAACTTGGGAGAAGAACGGAGGAACACAATTAGAACCTCAAAAAAGAATTAGAAAATATAAAAAAGAAGGAATCAGAGGTGAAGAATACAATAACTGAAATGAAAAATACACTAGAGGCAATCAACTGCAGATGAGGTGATACAGAAGAATATGTAAGCAACCTGGAAAACAGAATAGTTGAAATTACTAAATTAGAACAGCAAAAAGAAAAAAGAATTTTTTTAAATGAGGAGAGTTTAAGAGACGTCTAAGATAACATCAAGCATAGTAACATTCACATTATAGAGGTGCCAGAAGGAGAGGAGAAAGAAAGGGGTAGAAAATGTATTTGATGAAATAACGGCTGAAAATTTAACCTGCTGAAAGAAACAGACATCCAGGTCCAGGAAGCAAAGAAAATCCCAAACAAGATGAACCCAAAGAGATCCACACCAAGACACACCATAATTAAAACAGTAAAAGTTAAAGAGAGAATATTAAAGGCAGCAAAAAAAAAAAAAAAATCAAGTCACATACAAGGGAAGCCCCATAAAGCTATCACCTGATTTCTCAGCAGAAATACTGCAGGCCAGAAGGGAGTGGCATGATATATTTTATTTAAAGTGATGAGAGGAAAAACACCTACAACCAAGGATACTCATGTGGCAAAGTTATTCAGAACTGAAGGAGAGAAAAAGAGTTTCCCAGACAAGCAAAAACTAAGAAGAGGTTAACACCACTAAACCAGCCTTCCAAGAAATGTTAAAGGAACTTCTTTAGGTGAAAAAGGAAAGGCCCTATAAAGGTAGGAAAATATATGAAAGGCAAAAACCTTACTGGTAAAGGAAAATATATAGCAAAGGCAGTGAAGCAACCACTTAAAAAGCTAGTGGAAGGTTAAAAGACAAGTCAGAAAATCAACTGTAACTACAATAAACAGTTAAGGATACACAAAAAGATGTAAAATTTGACATCAAAAACATAAAACATGGTGGGGGGGAATAAAAAATGTAGAGATTTTAGACTGTGTTTAAACTTAACAATCATCTTAAAGCTAATTAATTTATTAATTAATTAAAATACATTTTCTATTGATGCACAGACAAGATGAAAGAGAAACTCAGACTGCAGTAACATTAAATATTTCCTTTGGATTATATAAAGTTATATGCTTTTAACACCAATTATCTACCTTTCATTATTATTTAGGAAATTCTTCAAATGTGGCAACTTATTACAATTAGAACACAACTTCACTAATAAGAACAGAGTAAGACTGATACATATCTATTTCCAAATGTGTCTTCCATGTTTGATCTAATTTGCATAATTAAAATAGGAATTATGCCATTTTCTTTTTATGAAGTTCTTTCCTTTGATTTTTAATATTTTCTGATACTTACACCATCTGTGCTAGATAAAAGGCAACCTGGAAACAGTAGCTGCCTAGTTATACTTCACTCATGGCTACCACATCATTCATGACTACTACACAACTCTAAATTGATGGAGGCATCACAACTCTACCTCATGGAAAACAGCTGGAGATTTGAAACCCTTTATGTTTCCAAAGAAAAAATATCAGTAATAACTTTTTGCTGTGCCTTCTGCCAGTTTCACCCCCCAAATAACTGTTCCTTCAAAGAAAAAAGGACCCTCTGTCTGAGGGACGGGCTCAATTGCTACTGGAACGAGAATATTTTCAAGTTTGATAGGTATCCTGACTTTGAGGTCCCAATGAAGAGAAATGAATTCATAGAAATTTTTGTATGTAATTGAAGTGGTCATCTATATAACTTTACCTTATCTATATCCAAACTAGAGTTCATAAAACATCACAATCTTTATATTAAAATTTCATTAAGCAATTCTATGAAACATAACTGAAGTCCTTTGAATACAGCTTAAAAACAGCAAAGTTACCTCTACTTGTGCTGCCAAATGTACTCTCTCCTTGTCTTTTTGCTCCAAACACCGCTTCACTTCCTCTAACTCAGATGCCATTGCACTGAAGTTCAGCTGCACTCTCCAATCTGACATCTGCTTCCCCAGATCCTCTTTTTCCCGCTCAACCCCTTAAAAGAGAAAATGTAAAGCTTGATGGTTGTTCGTTACTCACAGGATAATGTACTTTCGAATGGTATGTTTTAATATTCTACCTAATACAATCCACTTATTAACTGTCACTGTCACCCAACAGACTTCTCAGAATTTGTCATTCTATTGTTTCAAGTCTCACACAGTTTTCTAAAATATACACATTGCTGTGTCATCCAATATTATCACATTTTGATACTAAACTTAAAGTGTTATCTGATTTCTAATACAATTTATTTCAAGAAAATTCTATGCATTTTTTAATTTGCCTTACATTCCTATATTACCCCCAAATTCTAAAACAAAAATACTGAAAGAATTTTCAACTAAGCTTCTCCACCTAACTAAAGTTACTGAAGTTCACACAACAAAACACTTTTCTTGCAACGTAAACAAATGATGCTGCTAAATCTTGATTGTGTTATGACCTCTAATCTATTAATTCTGGAGACTACACCTACAACTGTATCACTGAACAATATAAATTGACTTAGTATTTATTTTTAGTTCAACATAAAATACTTGGTATATGATGAACAGGGCACTGTTAACACCATCTTTTTCAAAGATAAATAACACAAAAATCCTTTTCTCAATGAGCTTGCATTCCAAGGATAGAAAGAAAACATAAAAATAAAGTACTTCCTTGAATTTAAGATGTCAAAAATTGGAACATATATTATCAATTTAAAACTACTTTTTCTAGTAGCTTCCTTTCCAGAATAGGAAAGAAGGAAGGAAACACTAGCAAATCCAATTTATAGATCATGTGTAAGACACATGCTAACTTTAGAAATATTAAAATGTCAAAATTGTACAGTTTGGATGAAAGATACATAGGTATTTTAATAGTGTGATAAGAGCACTTATAGATACTAGACAAACAGTTCTCTATATCTGTATAATTTCTGTATAATAAATGGTTATTATACAAAAATAGTCCAAAGGATAGAATAATTAACTCTCTTAATGAGAAACTGAGGTAGGAAGCACTGGTTACTATGGTAGTTCTAAAAAATAGATACAAAATTTCACCAAGCAAAGGAGATGAAGTTGGGGTGATATTTTAGGGAAAGGAAACAGCATAAAGCATAAAGGAACAATATTGGATTTCATATTCAGGTAACTGCACACACAGGAGTTCTACATAGCTAATACGTATGAGGGAGGGAAACAGGAGAGTCACCAGGGAGTTATGCATTGCCAGGGAGCTTAGAAATTAGCCTACAGACCAGGAGTTAACAAACATTTTCTGTAAAGGGTCAGATAGTAAATATTTCAGCTATATGGTCTCTGTCACAACTACTTATCTCTGTTATTATACTGCAAAAGTGACCTGGACAATGCATAAATGAATGGGAGGAGCTTTAGTCCAATGAAGTTTCTTTACAAAAATAGGAGGCGGTCTGGATTTGGCCCATGGGCCATACTCTGCCCACCCCTGCTAGGTCTTCAACATGAAAATATGCATATTTTTTATGTGTAAATGTATTTATTCATTTGACAAATATACATATTCATTCATCTTATAAATACATTTTTTATTTTATAAATTTATATATGCATATGTGTGTGCATATATCTCTCTATAGTACCTATCTACATATAGACATAGACATGCTTCATGATATATATAACATTAGTGTTATATATATACACAAATTACATTACATTACACACATACAAATTAACATTAGTATGAATATATTATACAAATTATGGAGAAAATACATATGAATATGTATAAACACATATACATATATGTATATTTATAAAACACATATGTATTTGGTGTGATGACATAATACTTTGATATTTTTCATAATATAGATATAAAATATGAGTGTGGATATATATAAATACATAGATATACACACATATATACATATATGAAACATTTATCAAAATTAAAATACTTGGGCTTCCCTGGTGGCGCAGTGGGTGAGAGTCCGTCCGCCTGCCGATGCAGGGGACGCGGGTTCGTGCCCCGGTCCGGGAGGATCCCACACGCCACGGAGCGGCTGGGCCCGTGAGCTGGGCCCGCTGAGCCTGCGCGTCCGGAGCCTGCGCTCCGCAACGGGAGAGGCCCACGTGCCGCAAAAAAAAAAATACTTAAAACATAAAGTATAAAATATAGTGTTACAAACACTCTCCTCCCGTACCCAGTGGGTTATATGCTCCATTTTAAAGAACTCTTGCTACAAACAATGATGGGTCAGTAAAGGACAGCAGTTAAGAGTTCAAGTCTGGGTAGAAAAAAGATTTGGTCTGCTACTTCCAACAAATGTAACTTTAAGCAAGGCACTCAATTTCTTTGTTCTTTAGTCTCTTTGTTTAAGTCATTAAAATGGAAGTAAGAATATTCCCCCCTCATAGAATATTTGTAAGAACTAAAGGAGACAGTGTAAAATGAGTAGCATAATGCCCTGTAAGAACTCAATAAATTATAATGAGAGGTTTTAATCAAGAGAAAACATGAAAGGTTTGTGTCTTAGAAGGGTCCCTTTAGTAGCAGTAAAGAAGACAGATCACAGACAAGCTATTCAACAGAGTAAGACAAGTTAAGAGGGTAACAGAGGTGAGATGAAGCATGCCTAAACTGGGCTAGGGGGAATAAGAAAGAAGCAACTTCAAGAGATATCAGGATCTACAAATAGACAGGACGTAGAGACTAATTAGATGGAGGCGAGAAGGAATAAGTTTGGATGTTCTTTGTATTTTAGGCTTATCTGGATAAAGAATGATACGATCAATTAAGATAGGAAATAAAAACAGGTTTTGAGGAAAGGATGAATTCAGTTGTAAATCGGCTGACTGAGCATTCTGGAAAGGCATATATTGATGCCCAATGAACAACTCCATCTGGAGGGTTGATGGTTAGGAGAGTGAGATGAGCGAGATTTAGGGATCATTTGTAGGTGATAGCTAAAGCATAAGATTAAATAACAACCCCTATGGAGAGGTACTAAGTGAGAAAAACCATAAATAGGATTCTAGACAACAGAGGCATTTAAAAGGCAAACTGTAAACAAAAGGTAAAGATTCAAATACAAAGACTGAAAACAATTAAGACAGAAGAACCAGGAAAGAGTAGGAACAACGAAGTCAGTGGAAGATTTCTAAGAGGAAACAAACAGGAGTCAAGTAAGGCAAGTAATGGAAAGATTCCTTTGAATTTGACAGAGAAGACCACGAGTAAACTAAGCAAAGTCAATTTTAGAAGTAGAAGTGGAAGTCATTTTGCAGTGGGTAGAGGAACAAACAGCAGGCAGAGCATGATGAGTGTCATTTCTTACGTAGAACTTTTTAAAATAATACAAGTATTCCATAAAGATGAAAACTCTAGAATTGTTAAAAGAAGGTAAAGAAGTCCACTGTCACAATGACAAGAGAACTTTAAGCGTTTTTTTTTTAACCTGGGAAGTAGTTAAAAAAAAAAGAGATTCTTCTAGTCCTCAAAGACACCAAAAATAACTAGATTTTATGAGACAACAAAACATATAACAAATGTACCACAGGATCTTTTTCCAAACAAAATGAGAGCTCCTATGTGCATCTTTATCAAATTTTGATGAATAATCTAATACCTTATATTTTACTTTTAAAAATAAATTTTAAAGTATTTGATGTTAAAATATGATTAAATTACAACATCACATGAAACTTAAGTGAACTTAATGGCATACAAATATATTAGGATAGGTATGTCAAAATTTGCTATCCAGTGAAGATTTTCTGGCAATGTGGAAATTCTAACTTAGGCAACATATTGAGTTATGTGTAGG